CGCAGCTGACGTAGTGGGCTGTTGTGCTTTGTCTTTGGCGGTATTATCAATACTGGTGGTTGTTCGTTGCTCCGTTGGTCAAGTGGGTTTATTTTCGCGTTCCTCATTGAACATCGTTGTCCCTCCTTCTTTTTTTTCTCCCACCTTACGTTCCTTCCGTTTTCCTTCTCGGCGTCGCCGGTTGATTTGATTTCTGCGCGCGGCAAAACCTACCTTGTTTCATGTTTTGTTATTCAATTCGGAGCAGTGAACATAGGTAGATCACTGCTGACATATTGACATATTACTCATGTGTTGCTGCAATTTGAAAAACAATGCTAGAGACGCTAGAGCGGGGAACAAGAACATTTTTCTCGCATGCTGGTAAGGACATGCGCATGCTCTGTGCCCACCGCTAAAACTACCACACCTCTCCCATTCAGCGCATGCACTTCGTTGCATATTAATAGGCTGTAGTGCTCGAATCTCTTGAGTTGCTGCCATGTCAACAAGACTACCCAGCAATGTTTTTTTTTTTCTGATGCTTGTACAGAGTTTCCTGTATAAATGCATTAAAGCAGCCCATTGCGGTAACCCAACTATTTAGACAAATTTTTCGATCACACGGTTTACTTTCCGTTCGGGACCTCTGACATCTGGATCAGGCCAAGGAGGAGTTCATCGCGATTGGACTTCAACCTGCCAACCAGTGCGCAAAGAAGAGGGCAGGTACGAGGACGTGGACACTTGCGTGTTAGGTGTTGAGGCTAGTCGTTTTGTTGGTCCAATAATCTAAGGACCACCAATCTACCGGGCTGTGTACGTTTTTCCATAATGTGTCAATGTTGGTGCCGGTATCAGGCCGGTATGGTACATGTCGTTCGTTACCTCCAAGCCGGCTCAAAATGATCAAACCTTAGTCAAAACGTTTTCATGAGCCAACACATGGCATGCCGTTTTTTTGTACGTCATCTCTGTTCGTCCTCACAGAACTGGCTGTGCGCTCAGGAGCATGCTTCGGGTCGGCGGTGCAGCGTACGAAAGCCCTTCAGATTCAGGTGGCTCAACATCAACCGGGGAAAAGCGCTGACACCAATGGCATCGTGGAAGAGTATGGCCTTCCGTTCGACATCCAACCGCTGCAGGAGGACCCCACGGCGACAGTGCGCAGAACGCACCCCTTGGGGAGCAATGCCGGGCCTTACTACGGGCCTGACGCCCTGCACGACTGCAACCACCGGGATGACTGCCGCCAAAAGTACGGTGGGATAGACTCATGCGCCCAGCTCTCGGGGGTCACCCTCAACGCGCACGAGCAGAACCATGCGAAGAAGAAAAAATTTCTGCACATGTTGAATGTCATGAAATTTGACCGCTTTGCGTTCATGGTAACTCTGATCAACGAGACCGAGAATGAGGCAATAAACCGCAAATCGGTGGCAAACATGGTCAAGCGTGTTCGAGGCCATGGCTCGGAACGAGTAGAGATTTGCCAGGCTCAGGTTTGGTTCTGCGGCAGATGCTTCTGCCAGAAGTCTCGAATGCGATCATTCGACCAGTTCGGCCGGGTCCGGCTGACCTTTGTTAAGCCATAGCCATACTTTTGGGGGGGCTCGGATGTTGTTGTACGATGTCTCGGATGCTTTGTGGTACGGTGTCCGCTTGAGCTGAACCGCTTGCGCCATTACGTCATTTCGCCCGGTTCGCAGTGGTGGGTAGAGTTAATTTTTTTTTGTAGTCTTTCGGCTGATGGTGTGTCGAGGCTGGTGGTAGGAGTATTCGGCTCCGCGTTTTGGGGGATAGATACGTTTGGTTTTTCTTGAGGGGAATTCATTGGTTTCGCTACACGATAGGGTTGCTTCAAGAACTATTTCCGAGCCCACCGACGTTCCGTTTGTCAGCCTTTCACACCACTTCCAGTACTATCGACTGCTCGCTGTTTTTTGTGTTTCCAAGAGCGCGATGTATCTTTTGCCTTCGAGCCTTGGCTTGAAAGATGCGTATCCAAGGACAACCAGACCTGTTCCCAAATGTGAAAGTAACGAATTGTCGAAGAACCGTTTTTGATCCTATATCGAAAACAAGGCAGACCTACCTACCATTGGGTTCAGCTCATCGCGTTCCATCCGGATGAGGGTAGAAATTATTTTGTGTTCTGTCCAAGAAAGTTGTCTGGTGCCCACTTGGCCACTTGCCCACTTGGCCACTTGGCAATAATTTTCAGGTTGCGTTTTGGCATTCAATACCATTTCGTCCTGGACTTGTGGTACGTACATGCCGTTTCGAGATACCGTCATGGTCGGAGAGATGGCACCGGGTGCGATCGTTTTTTTAAATGTTCTTCCTTGAGTTTTTATCGCGCCCCGGTGCCATGTCTCCGACCCCGGTGCGGGAATGCAATTAGATCTTTTTGATTACATTTTCAAGGCACCCCGGTGCGATCTCTCCGACCGGTGCGATCTCCGATGAAATACACACAGGTGTTGTATGAGTGGGAGCATACCGGTAACGGCAACGTAGGCTGGTACGTAACAGCTTTCCATACAGCGAGTGGTGTCGTGTTTGATGCGAGTTTGGCTATAGAGTGACGACAAGAAAGGATGTCGTTTCCATCTGAGGTACTGGTACATACGGCATCAGTTGTCTTCCGCTTTCGTTTCGGTGTTCCTCTACGGATACCAGTACGTACGAAGCAACGTACGAAGCAACAATAGCTTCGTGTTGTGTAAGGTGGGGTAGGATGTGGCTTGTACGTTGTGTGTCTAGTTGAGAGTATACGGTTGGCAACTTCCATACCAATTCAAATATGAAATCAACTGGCATCCCGTGTGAACCGCGACCATGCATACGTACATGCAGGGGTGGCGCTCCGCTGACACCATCCCCACATGTATAAGGAACACACATGTACCTCACTCCGGCAGCTGAAAATGAGCTCAATCTTTGGGTTTGGCGGTCGGTGTGCGATCTCACTGACCCCGGTGCGTAAATGGATGTAAATCGTGCCGTTCTCGTATTTTTTTAGCAACCCCGTGCCATCTCCCCGACCGGTGCCACCTCTCAGACCGGTCCTATCTCTCCGACTATTACGGTATATATTAAAGCTATGTTGTTTTCTTTCCGCGTTCACCCCTTCTAAACCAAAGCTTAACAAGCAGGCTATCGGCGAGACTATGTCGGCTCCTCTCTCCCCTCCTGCAACTCCCCCTTCAACCAACTTCCCCTTCAACCTACATGAAGTCTACAAGTAAGTATGCTTCAGACAACGTGGCGACGACTCGCTCAAACCTGGTGTATAATATCTCCTCAATATACCCTGCGCAAAAACTTTGGGTTTTTCTCGATAGTTTGACATGGGAAGGTGTTGAATCTAGTATCTGCCATTTGCAACCTACATGGGAGCAGATCATCTGCGATGTGTGCCTGTAAATGCAGCAGCCTACCCGCCTGGACCGATTTCCAAACATCAATTACTCCACGAAGAGAATGCGTGCATGAAACGACTGTTTCAGAAGGCTCTTGACAGAGCGGCTTCAACGCCGCCGTTTCCGGCGCTGCCACGCTTCTGCTGTGAAAGAATGGAGCTTGGAAAATCGGTCGAGGGGGTGTGATATCTTGTGTCATACCTTGTTTAGGTGTAGCCTGAGCCGGAAATGGGTAGGCTTTCGACGCCTTATAGGGTGGCTGTGGGGGATTGGGGGAAACATGCTTCTTCAGACGTCGTATGGGTTGTTGTGCAGTGTTGTGCCTGGTTGGACGTTGGCAAGCTATCAATCTGGAAGCAGATGGCAGCGGCAGATCTGGATGCTGATGCGCCTACCTCTAGCGTTGCGGGGCAATCGGTTGTTTCTTTCGTGTACAGCCAGCGCAGAAAGCGGTTCCGGTCATCTCGAAGCTGTGCAAAGGCCTAGACCTACAGCACCTAGACTCAGCTAGATATTCCACTCGCTCTTCGTACAGCAGCAGTACACGCCCTACCGAACGGCCGGCAGCCCGGTAGCGCGCACATACAAATCGGTGCCCCCGACAACAGTCTACATTGTAGACTAATTGATTGCTTTCGGCGGTCCTGACATGTTTTTCTAGCAGCATTCTTCTCCTCCCCTACACACCATGAGTCCCCTGTGCGCGCAGGAACATACTCCACTGAACATACGAGCAGGCGGGCTCTGCAAGCCTGCACAGCTCGGGCTTCAGTGTGCAAGCTAGCAGAGCTGAGCTAGCCGAGTACCACCTCCAAACCGTCAAGAACCGCGTGCGCGCGCGCCCAAAAAGTACGGCATGCTTTCCGAACCTTCCGGAAACCCTACCCCCGAACCCCCTAAAGATCCTTTCGCACGATTGGTAATCCGACCTCATCCAGGACTGATCCCAGGAACGCTGCTGATTCTCAAAGATGCAGGTGTATTTCTACTTCTACGTCAATAAAAGTCAAGCTCCAGCCTGAAAAAGCTGGGCAATGTACATGCAATCACAGAAAGAGTACCGGTCCGAGTTAACGCCACAGCAGTTGACGGTTGTGTGTTGAGCAGTAAGCGGGGGGAAAACCCGCTGGATGCTGCGCGTATTTTGAGTCAACGCAACCCTACATATATATGCTCAACAAGCTGACGCCATTCTTACGTCGAGTTGTCGTTTGACGGGCATGATTTCTCGCAAACCCCGGAGCCCACGTTGTTGGCGTAGTATAGCTTGCCGCGGTCCTCGTAGCCGTCGTCAAAACCGCAAAGGTTGCCTGAAACGGAACGGAGATCAATCAGCACGAAACGAAAGCGTTGTCGTTGTTGTTAACGCTTAGCCCACCCAGCCTGAAACTGTTCCTTGCTCGTGGAAAAGAGAAACATGTTGTGTGCGGGGGAGCAACTTTGCGGCCATGCGTTCCTGAATTTTTACTAGGAAGGAGCTCATCAACATATATGTACTCACATATCCCGTAGGTTGTATTATGGTTAGTGCTACAAGATGGCATCACCGACCCTTTCTGTGTAGGTGTAGACTTGAAATTGAAATAAGCTCAGTATCCAGCAGGTCCCATTCCTGCTGAAAAGACTTCCTTCGAAGCGTACTACATATCGCTTCGGCTGCGGAGTTGTCTCGAACGGGTATAGACTAGTTTTCCAGTAATGGGATGTACATGTTGTAAAAATAAAAATCGAGAACCTGTCGCCATGTAGTGTGTACCCTCGGTTGCTTCCCGCAACATCTCTATCGGTGTAGTCTACATACATAGTGTAGGGTGATGAGATCAGCTCGCTGTGCACAACGCACTGCATCGCCTCGACACTTGTGTGCATAAAATGTACGTTGGAAAACGTGGGAGGAAACTAAAGGCCCACAAAGTGTCTAAATGGGCTGCGCAGGGGAACACAAGGATTGCTGTGAGGCGACCAGAGAGACATAATGTGCATTGAACGGATGAGGTACGATGATAATGCGGCTGACACAAAAATAAGCGTCGTGTTCGAGTGTGCACCCGGATGCGCCGCTATCGAAATGGAACAATTACACGCAAACGGAGAAATAGAGTGGTATGATTTTAGGAATACGACGAGAATAGTCGAAAGGTCCAAAAGGTTATTCAAAATGATACTTTCTGTAGGAAGCGCTTGTTTACAAAACCATGTCATCTGACAGATGAACACTTTCGACAGCATGCGTGTCTCGACGGCCTTCGTCCACCTGTACTACTGCTGTACTGCAGTGCACACCCATTCCTTGGAATGTAGTCTAGGTACAAGTAACTCTTTCCAACCTCATCTCCTGCAGCCAGGGATTAGTCTACAATACACACGCCAAGAGGCCCGCCGCCAAGCTACTGGTATTTGTTAGTGCCGTAGAGTGTTGGGCTGTTGTGGCCCTAGGAGAACAGCATCACCATTAAGCGGCCTTTGATTGGGTAAAACACAACCTGCTGTTGTTCAAAAACCCGCCGATGTCCATACCTTCGTAGTCGGTGGGTGCCAAGAGTTCTCTCACGTCGCCCTGAGCAGGGGAGAGGGACAGAGGAGGCGCAACACGCGCAGGGCGGCACGTACATCGAGAGTGTTTGGGAAAACACACAAGAAAACGCGTGATTTCAGTGACATGCCTCGAAGAAAACCTTCCGAGACAAGCACTACTGCTGACCGCTCTTTGTGTGTCCACGACCGCGGTGAGGTTGACACCTAGCTCGACGTTGACTGCTGTCATCACTCCGTACCTGTTGGACGCTGCTGATGCCCACCACGGTCATCGTAATCCACATGATGATGATGGCCAGCGTGAAGATGATATCGGTACACTTTCTGTCCCTCACCGGGCCGTCGAACTCCGGCGGTGCCGTGAGCTTATCCTGCATGCCAGTCATCCTTCCGCGACTGCCTGTTGCGGGCGGGGGGGGGGCTGTTTATCCGAGCACGCCGCCGCTCTGACGCCCCACACGCGCCCCTTGCTGTCCTCGCACGCTCTACAATAACGCGGTTCAACTAACGGTCTTCCCGATGGACCTCCTGCTGTCCAATACCAGCACTGCACCAACCGCTATCTCCCACAGGTAGCACGTACAAGCCCTCGGCAACGCGGTGGTTCACACAGGTGGTAGGTGTTGATTTGAGGCCGCTACTCTCCAAGGATGACCAAAACGAGCGCCGTGTCTGAACTAGTCTGAACCCTCTTCCGGGACGATGGCTTCTCCGACTTTCAACCATCTAACAAGGCACCCCGAGAATGGACTTTGAATTTTCCCGCGACGACCGTTCCGCAGAAAGTTCGCGATCAAGAACGAGAAAAGTTTTTGGGTACAAGTGGTGGTCCCGATATACCGCCACAGCAGTCCCGATACACCGCGGAGATATTCGCTTTGTCACGGGATTTGGCTATAATATTCCCCAACACCCAACAGTGCTGTGTCCCTAATGCCGGGGTTGTTCTTGCTGTCTACGTTGATTGCCCGTATTTCAAAGAGTTCTCGTTGCCCTCTTTCGTTGCTGTCATACGGTCGCTTTCTACCCAGCCTTTTATCATCCGTACCGGTCCAACTAACGCGGACGCCGTCAAAACAGCCAATGCACCCACAAAAACATTTCTGCGCAGCTCAATTCGAGGGTACGTCTACACTTGATGCTAAACTCCATGCAAAGATGAGATCAGGGATGACATAAAGAGAGAAACCAATCCCTCCCCCCCTGCCCCGAATTTCGCGCGGTGCACTTCCCTTCAACTGGGAGTGCAAGAATCGACCACTCCATCGGTCGTAGAATTAGACATTAATAGAGTACTCAAGGAAGTTTCCCAGCGCTTGCGTGATTTCTCAAGTACTCAAGAACTCAAGGAAATTTCCCAGCGCTTGCGTGATTTCTACAAACTCTTTGCCCAGCAGGGCCTTCATGTTCAGACAATCCTAGATGCATTGACGGCGGAGAAAGCTCGAACTTACGCCTTTCATTTCTGGTAATTTCCCTCTAGGGCGTCTAAGACCTATACAAAATTCAAAATTCCACGCCCCCGGTTGATCTATACCACTCTTCTCTCTCTCTCTCTTGCTAGCCGAAACCAAAGGGGATGCAGAACTGACGGCACAGAGGAGCGTGTGACAGCTTGCACATCATTCGACAACACAAACAGATCAATCTAGACGATACCACCGGGGGTCCGAACTGCACAACGACGAGCTTCTGACAAAAGCGGCCGCCGTCGCTACCCCGCCGCCGATTTCTTCCCACCATGTGGCTATTTGATCCCCTCCTATCTCTACCTGCATTTACGCTCGTTCCGTGCTGCCTCTTTCCATGTTTCTCTCCAAACGAGCGGGCGCTTTGTCAAAAACGTTGTGTCCCTCACAACCCTGCACTGGCGACAACGTCAAGGAACACCCTGAGATCGTCCACGCTAACGTGCAGCGCAGTCTTGCACAAGTCATACAGCAAAAACTGTCCCGAGATGATCGCCCCGGACCAGACGATACGGCTGGGAAGTCCTAAAAATAGACCGCCTGGACCTCGCTCATCGACGATAGTCCTAATGGTGTTCGGGATCGACAATCGGTCCGGAGAGCGGCTCATCGTACTCAACACGGTGTCGGCTGTAGCCGTAGGTTTGTGGCGGAGGATGGAACGGGCAGGGTGCGGTGGCCGGTGGGAGGAAGGGTGTTGTTAGGGCGTGTGAGGGCGTTTTGACATCGCTTTCACCGACTCCGTCGAGGCAGCACATACAGCAGTGGAGGGGGGCGTTGAGTGTCGGTGCAGTACCCCGGTATAGTGCCGGTCAACCATCTGGCACATGCTGCACCGGTACTAAACAGGGCCGACCCCCCACTGCTGTACACTCACTGAAAATTGTCACAACGCAACGAGCGAAACACGAGAAAATAGTGAGAAGACGTATCGCCTGTTCGACTCGGACAAGTAGACTGTTGTCCAAACACCATGGTCGGTTGGTTGACTATCCGACACCCCCACTGCAAAGCTCCCATAATATTTTCGGACTACAAAGTGACAAGGAGAACACGTGCATGTAGAACTGAGATATATGTACTACACGCAGAACCTCAGTTGAAACCATAGCATCAAAGCGACAGCAGTATCTCACCTGGCTGCGACACGATCGCGGCGCAAACCCCTGCCACCAGCCCGCTCGTAAGAGAGACCGCAAGCTGCGTGGATTTTTGATCCGCAAGGTAGGGCACCAGGTCGTACGCAAAATCTGCAGCGTGGTCCACGAAAGACGGGAAAAAGATGCAGCAGACGAGATATCAACTAACAACTCGCACAACAACAACACAGGTTTCGACTTGGAGGAAACTCAATTTTGTGCACAGAAAGCTGCCACATCCAAATATCGTACAACTCGCACGATAGACACAACATAAACAACACACGTTTCGACTTGGAGGAAACTCAACTTCAAGCACAGAAAAGCTACCACAATCAAATATCGTATAAATATAAGGCCGGCCCTAACATAAAATCGCGGCGTACCAGTGAAGAAGTCGAAGACGAGAAACTTCATCATTCCAAAGCTAATCTGGCGGAACAAGATGGACGGCAGCCCTTCGTACAGCTTTCCCCAGCCGCTCTCCGCCACGATCTGCTTGATCGCGGACGGCATGCTCCCCACGGCGGGATCAGCCACCTGTCGGATGCGCACCGCCTGCCGAGAGTACACGAGGGAGGCGTTTCGGGGAGAGCAGATCAGCAGGAGAAGTAGATAAAGTGACGTTCTAAAGCGAAATCGGAGTGGCGTACGCGGGCATCGCAACTCAACGCTACGCCCGATGCCACCAGAGACTGCTCTCGGTTTCACCAGCAAGGGGTGAAGAGCAATTGCGAAATATCGTCCTTCGCAACCTGAAACGGTATCAATACGTCTCTTGTGTATTTTTGTATTTTTTAGTTTTTGGTGTTGTGGACGCAATCAATAAAGGTGGGCGAAAAGCTCTGATCGGTTGACTCAGAACCACATTCACCCGACCCGGTCGAGGGCTGCGAGCGTGCGCAAAGTGCACAACCACAGGGCCACAAGCCTTGCTTCTCGCACTCTCCCCCTAAGCCTTTGTCCACCAACAGCTAGCTCGAGAAAAGGGGGCCCCGACTCACCTCCGCGGGACAAACCCCGATGCAGGCGATGCACGTAGCCGCCGCCCCAGCGGCGAGAACTAGCGGCACCCGAAACAGCGCCGCGTTCAGCGGTCCCACCAGCTGCATGAAGAGACGCTTGAATAGCTCGTACCCCGGGTACACGGTAATCCCGTACCACAAGTAACCCGCGAGGGTTGGGCCGAATCCCTGCATCAGCATCATCCAGCCTTCCTGCAGGGGTGGGGTTGGTGATTTCGAAAGTGTTGTAGGCGTTCTTCATCTGTCGAAATCTGTGCTAAGGGCGGAAGCGGGGCGGCGGTTTTCGTCGGAACGCCAGCACAATAGCTAGCGAGCTCGTGAGCTCGAGGCAAGCATCTTCTCGACCTGGTTCATGGCTGCGTGTGCCCCACACCAGGCGGCCCGTCGCACATATAAACCACGCCACGACGTTGCAGAGGCATGAACGTAAGACCAACCTCCAGGCTCTCGGTGAAATAATCGATGAAATTGACCAGGAGACTCATGTACGGCGGCGTAGCCCTGCTGCTGGATGAAGTAATTCTGTCCGCAGCACCCGACTCACCTCTTTCGCAATGGTGGTGACCCCCCCCGCGAGGCCTGAGTATCTCCCCGGGTCCGTCTGCAAGCGCGTCTTCACCACGTCGAGCGGGATTACTGTCAGGTGTGTCGAGGTACACCCGACCGCACCGCACGCCGCGAAAACCGCGAAATCGGCCGCCGTGAGGCTACGCTCCTGTTCACAACGAAGCAGGAAGGGCGCATTAAATCGATCAAGTGCCTGAGAGGACGGAAGCAACATGCGCCAAGAACAAGAGCGACAGACTCACTGACAGCGACACATCTCGCATGTGTACTGCTCTAAGATGTGCAACGGGTGTCTCTTCTTACCTTGCTGGTCGGAAATGGCCCCCGCGCCCCGAACGCCATCTCCGCCTGTCGCGGCACGCCTGGCACGAAAAACGCTCCCACGCCCTCGTCGTAGCGAGGCCGCAGCTCCTCCGGGAGAAGCGCGCTCGGGCTCTTCCCAAAGATGGACTTGAAGTCTAGGTCCTTATCGAAGGCGGACGACCTTACCGCGCGGAAGCCGGAGGCGCTGCCCGTGGGGAAAGAAAGGAGGGACTTGATGTCCGGGACGGGCTGGACATCGGGGGGAAGCAGGGAGAAGAGCATCGCGAGCTGTTGCGGCGCGCCGTCGGAGTCGTACTTGCGCGAGAGGGACTCCAAGAGCTCGCGCGCGCCCTTGGAGCCCTGGAACTCGTGGAGGCCCAGCCCTACCGCGGCGACAAAGCCCTGTGAGAGAGGGAGGGAGCGAGACGAGGGTTAGCGTTGGGCGATTGGAAGGGAGCAGCGTGGAGTCAGCGATTGACAACGGCGATGGCCACGGGGGGAGGGACGCCGTGAGCAGCGAGGTTGGGCAGTGCGGTTACGTTCAGCATCGAGGATGCATGGAAGAGAAAACCCCCCCGAAAACCACGACAAAACGGGAGAAAAAAGGGCGCACCCGAAACTCTTCCCAAACGTGGCTGCCGTCCCGCTTCGGCAGCGTGCAGTCGAGCTTCCCCTTGAAGTAGTCCCTGCAGCCCTCGTCGTAGTTGAGAAGAAACCTCGCCAGGTAGGCCACGAACCCCTGCCCGTACGTTTCGTCGGCCTGCGACAGTCTCGAGGACACCGTGCCGCTGTCCTCGTTGACCCACACCATTCTCTCCGATGCCGCTGCTGCCATCTTCGCTACCGGGGTCCGTGAGGAGTCGGTTGTGGACGCGCGAACCTGTCGTGTGGGCAACAAAAGGCCGGCCGTCGCGGCTCCGACGAGGGCTGCCGCCGCTGACGTCTGACGCAGAAGCTCCAGCCTGGACGTTGCTCCTCTAGCCGCCGGGCCAAGGGCGCTTGCCGATCGCTGGGGGGGAGCCGCTGGGGAAGAGGACTCCTCCTGCTGTCGTGGTGAAGTTCCCTCCTGGTTATTGTTGTCGTCTACTCCTAACAAACGCATCGAAAAAACGGCAGACCTATCGCGATGCAACCGCTGCCGGCAGCGTCTTCGGGAGGAAGAAGCTCTGACTGCTGTGCTGCTGTCCGCAGAACTCGATGTCACGCTTCTTCTGCTGGTAGTGGTGATGGCGAAGGACTTGTTGGGCGCACACCCAAAGGCGGCACCAGAAGGAAGCCGAGCAGGATCAGCGATTAGGGCTCCACCGCTTTCAATTCCTGCTGTCGCCGACAAAAATGCAGGTGGCGTAGCTCCCACGCCAAAGCTGCTGCTTCCACCGAACAAATTGCATAGCACCACGGCCGTCGCTGCAGCCTTGCCGGTGCGGCTTCTACTCGTGCCCTGCGGTCGCGGTCGAACTCGCCTGCTGCTGTTACATGTCACTGCTGCTGAGGTACATGTAGTAGCAGTTGCCGGAAGCAATCCCCGCTTTGAAGTGTCAGAAACCCGCGCGAGAGGTACTGCCGCCGTCGCTCTCTCGCACGAACAAGGACGCTTCAGGGTCCTGGCTGTTGTTGGGTGCGCGACCCAGCCTTGATGCCCAGCCATTGTTGTCGCGTCACGACAAGACGAGGGTGGTGTGACGCTGGACGCTGGACTGTTGTCCCTGCGTGTACAAACGGATGAGGGGGGGATGTTTCAATGAATTTGCGGTGCCGCTGCGGGTGTCCGATAAATAGTTTGGCGTTTGGGTCTCTGAGCATCCCCCCCCCTCACCCCTCACGAAAGAGACGAATGCCCCGAACACGTACGCATACGAGCGAGCGTACACAAGCATCATTCCCTTGGCAACTATGGCGGTACGACTACCTTCTGCGGCGATGAAGGCCAGCCCGACTCTCAAGGGAGAGCGGATAGTGAAAAATCTGGTGTGCGTTTCTGGGGCGATGATGCTAGGCAAGTCTTGGATGGTATTGAGGAAAATGAAACAGACACAGAGAGACTACGGTATGCGGTGCGGTGTGTTTGTTGCTCGTGTCTGTGATGTGTGAGGAGATTCAACGAATTGAATGTTGCCCGTCATCAGTCCCGCCGGCGGAAGCTACCCAGCATTGATATCACCTTTGTCGTCTGCCAATGCTTCTGCACCCTCGCTATATTTAGTTAGCCTCTCTCTATCTTTCTCGTTGAGTTTTCGGTCCCAACAGCTTGCAGTAACAACAAATTTGTGTGTGACAACGTGACAACAGTTTTTTTCAGTGTTTCATCACAGCTGCTGCCTCGTCATGTTTTCCCCGCTGGTCTGCCTGCCACACGGCTTGTCTTGTGCCGTCTCTTGGACGCCGTGTACAATGTAGAAACCTGTACTTGTGTCTCCCAACAGAAAAAATAGTGTTGTTCTCTTTACAAGAGCAAGAAGCGGAGCATGTAACAACAATTTGATCAGTTCGTGGGCGAGGTGCGATGAGCGAAAGGTTGTTGTGCTGGGAAAACAGAGACACCAGCCGCGTCACCAGAGGGCGCACGTGTTGTGTTTGCAAGTCACAGAAGGCGACATGCTACCCACGTGTGTGATGACTCGTTCAGTTTTTCTGAACAAGTTGTTTAGGTTTGATGATGAGCACAGACAAGAGGACACGTGCTCTGCTTTCTCCGTCGCAACTGCCTCATGCTGAAGAACGGCGTTTCTTTCAGCGTGTGCGCGGTCTGCTATGTAGCGACTCTTCCCATCTACTTGCTTTGACGCCCTCTGATTGGTCGAGCGTTAGTTCGTGCGGCGATTCCTCTCCAGCGCCCTCTCCCCATTCCGCATTCCAACAACGCGGCGCAGCCGCGATTTAGCGCAGTTCGCGGTCGCCAGGCCGTGCGTTGGCCGTGGGTGAGGGTAGGTTAGGGATAGTAAATAGTAGACCAAATTACTTTCTAAAAATACACCAGCTCCAAGGACGCAGTTGCTTTGAGACAGAATTCATGATCTTTCTTGTCTTCGACAGCAACTCGCGTCCACAGCAGAAGTTCTAGCGTGCCACGCAACCGACACGGCTCGGGCTTGTAGGAAGAGGGCGAAAGTTCAGTTGACCGGCAGGATAGGGCACTGGGGTATTTGCGACAGGCATGGGTTACCTCTATGACAATAACAGCAGCAGCTGTTGTCACCGAACAGAAATGTTCAAAGAATGAAAGCGAGCAACGCAGGGGGCAAGGAAGAGAAAAAGAAACAACCCCCCGAAGTGTGTTCCTTCCTCGTCTTTGCAACTCAAGTGTTTACCCTCATGTATTCAACCCCGGCCGGTGCGAACCAGTCCCCTCCCGGAGCTGAACACCACACCGACCAATTCGTTGCCTCAAATCGCAGTGCTTGCAAAGGCCGATGGTTTGACTTCACCCGTGTGGAATGAGTTATCCACATTTTTATTTTTTCCTTTCTCGTGAACAATGCTTAGTAGATGAAACTGCAGCGGAGATTCCAGCGTGTATGTATGTGCCGACGGACACAAGGTCCGCCCGTCCTCCACGGCCCGCACTCGTTTGATCCAACAGAAAGATACAGCCAACTATTTTGCAAGGACAAGGGCCCTCATGAGGTATGGTGTTGAGAGATGGCTTGCTCTACCTCTTGAGCCGACAGCAGTGTGGATTCTTCCCCGTTACGACCACCAGATGGTATTGTTCGTGGTGTATGTGCTTGTAGGAAGGACTAGACGCGCCGGCAGGCAGGAGGGGGATGCCCCTAACAACACCTGGCCCCGAGGTCAAAGCGACGGTTCCAGATTGCTCCGCGGGTGATGAGGAGCACCGCCCAGCCTCCAAGCGCCCTTCTTCGCACCGGTTCACGTCGAACGGATGCGGCACTTTGTTGCAGAACGAGCGCCCACTGCATCCCCCCATCCCCGCCTCCACCCCGCCCGCCAAAACGACATAGAGCTCGCATCAACCTCACCGCAAAATTGGCCGGCCGACACAAAGCTCGTTCTGACTTGGTCGACCCCCCCCCCCCCCCCCCCCCC